TAAATATAGTTTAGACTTTTACAATTACAAGAGAGCTCAATCTACTCAGCATAGAGACACTTAAGTTAAATGATTTGTTATCTTGGGAGTACCACATGCCAAATGATAACATTCAATCCAACAAAAATCAATGCTTTTTGACACCAAGTTTAATTTAGAAATACACACTGTAATTTTCAGTGATTGCAAAGGGACAAGTTGGAATCTATTGAGTTGTATAAAAGCACGAACAGCGAAGGAATTAAAGGAATAGTTGAATGAAAAGTTGAATTATTGTTCTTTATATTTTAAAATAACATTTCAAATTTTATAAGTCTTGAAACTGTACTTCGTTGAGATAAGATAGTACATTAAGTTTTAATGTATTTATTTATTCAAAGTTCAAAATGGCAGTTGAATCTATACAGAGTCCACCAAATTCAGGATCAAATTCACGAAAAAACTCACTGTTCAGTCTGAGTCCAAGTGGATCTAGGAAAAATTCTCTTTTTCAATGGTCGCCTCGGAAAAACTCAATATTTCAATGGAGTCCACCGTCAGCAAGAAAAAATTCAAGATTTGGGATATTTACATCATCAGTTCCTAACTCACGCTTCGGGACTACTGTCCATTCAAAATGGATGAAACTTCGTGAAGGAATTACCTTAAAAGGGCATAATAAGCAGTTTCAGCGTGCATCACAAGCAGCAGAAAGATACAGAAATGCTGTTGAATATGAAAATGCTTTAAGTTCTTTGTTATGTGTCTGTGCAGGGGAGAGTTGTAAGGTTAGTCTTGATATCTCAGGATTGTTGTATGTCTTTGATATGTAACCACTGAGCATTTTGATTGTGAATGATACATGCCATCATATATTATTATGTCACCACCAGAAGACATACATGTACATGTATTGTTATAGTCTCCAACTTTTTGAGGATGGCAGTTGGTGTTCAGCGGTCAGTGTCTGTAACAAATGGCAGATTGAGGTGGTGCTATTTTGCATGTTTATGCTTTGTTCTAAAGTTCTATTTGATATGAAATTATTGTCTTTTCTTTATACAAATTAAATAAGGAGAAGGGATGGCAAAAATGTTGGATTAGAGGTTTTCATAATGCCCACAATGAAGGACTTACATGGTTGGGGCAATTGTTTAAAAATAATGTCTGCAAATCTCCATCCAAAGTTCAAAAGCTCACTTGACTTTTTGATGCAATTAGTCTCATATAATTCAACTTATATTTCAAACTTATTATTCAAATGATTAAAGACCTTAGATTAAGATTATTGAATTAAAAACTACCAAAAATTGGACAATGATACGTATTAGCAAAACAATATCCCTTTAATTTTACCGGCTAATATTTTACACGCTACTCAATATATGATTTTGGGTTTTTTACTTGTATGCAAAGTTTTCCTAAAAATCAATTTTAAAATAGCCTCAAAAGGCTTTAAGAACACAAAATAAATACTTCGTTTAGCTAATAAGCATTCTAAACAGCACTGGAATAAGAGAAATTCTTGGAGATTTATGGTAAAATTATTCATAGTAGTTTATAAATCATCTCTATGGCTTGTAAGAGAAGACTTGTAATGAAACTTATGCTAGATTATTTAGACTTGAGCCTTCAAGTCTTCATACCCTCTCATTCTTCTCTTTGGAATTTGAAATAACTGCCATATTTTCTGGTATTCTTTTTACCATTCTAGTGTTGATAACCCATATCACTTTTCTAAAATGTGGCATATATTTTATGTGTATGATAGACTGAAATGGTTGGATGGATCAATTTTTATATTTCTCCAATCATTAGTCTGTTCTTGCACTTGAATGTCTTTGATTAAAAAGCAATATTTCTAAAGCTAATCAAATCTTGCACTTCTTGATTCCCCTCGTAAAAGTTTCTCTTGTGATGCCCATTCCCTAAAAAGTTCTCATCAAAATTTGATTTAATTTCCTCATCTCTTCAAGCATTTTTATATAATTGATATTGAGATTGTTATCAATACACTCTTTTCCACCCTATATTCAATTTTAAAGCATGACCATATAATGATTCTTCACAGTTATGTAAAAGGACAAGATGTTAGAACAATCTGACATTTTGATATCTATTAAGAGGAGTAAGTTAAAGTTAAGTTGGTCTGAAAATGAAATGATACAAGCTGACATTTGCACCAATGGCAATACCCTGAATTCAACAGTTAGTAACTACTCTCTGATTATGATAATCATTTACAGTTTGACATTGATCAACCAATAAGAGAGCAATCCAGATTCACACAAATTAATAGAATTTTATAGGGTTTACCAGAGACTTAGCATGATCTAATATAGTTAATGGAGAATTAAAGGATGGAATTACTCAACTTCAACTTCAACACTGAAAACCTGTAAAATAGAACACCTCTGTTAGTGGAACACTTTAGAGTCCCAAAACCAACTGACTAAATGTTAAATGAACCTCTAAAAGGGGAACACCTCCCAAGTGGAACACTTTTTAAAGGTGTTCTACATAAACAGGTTTTACTGTATCAAGACATTCTGGTGTCAACCTTTTAGAGACTCTTGAATAGAGGAACCTGTCTCAGTCAAAGATGTGACATGTGTGTAAGAAGTGATAATATATGTGTCATTGTCTATAAATATGGCCACTTACACTCTTGAACTGTTAAGAAATAAAAAATATAAGGCATTCTCCTATGCTTGGTCATGTGCTGGTTTATTGAGGTTTTTGGTTTGCCAAACATTGACTCTTGAACAGTTTGGAAAGACTTTTGACATATGTTTAATACAATATTAGTATATCTTCATGTATGTCCATTTGGTGGGCTTTTTGGCTTACTTGTTTTTAGCTCACATTGCAAACTCTCACTTTGTTTTGTCTAGGGGAATATTGATTGTACGTAATATAATTATATCAAAAAGCCATTTTTATTCTGTGTAGAAATGTGAACCTCAAAATAATCAAATATAATTCTTTAGTTAATTCTTCTTATAGCCAGAATTTATCTAATATCAAGTTTAATACATATTGAGAATTATTGATGTATTCCAGTTTGTTGAGAACAGAATTGAAGTTTATTGTGAAGAGATTTTTCTTACTTGAACATTTCTTTACTCTAAGTCCTAAAAGAATTTTCTGATTTATTTTGTTGTTTAAATAGCCACAATGCAATCAAACAAACAATAAAGAAAACAAACAGATTAACTATGAGTCAATACAAAACAGGTTCATTGTCAAATAGCAGGGCTTTGTTGTATTTGTTGAGGAATCTAACTGATCTTGAATGTTCAAGTGACGTTTGAAGGACATTAATCTGCGATCAAATACTAAAAAATGACCCAAACAAGTGAATAACTGATAGATAACCCAGATCCACCTTGAGTAAATATAGTGATGGGTCCCTTACATATTTTAATATAGTGAATTTATGAAACATAAGGAACATGTGTCCATCCCCTTCAGCTCCCACCTCTTGGAATGAATGCATGGTTTCTCACTTTGTGGCCATAATAGCCTCATGTTTCAAAACAAATACATGCATATAGAAATGTACAGTCAGTATTATGATGTAATATAAGGAAGAAGTTAAACAATAAATGAAAGCAAATGAGTCAGCATATATAATTATAGATTGTACTTGAAATGATATATTTTGTGACTAAACCAAGTTCAAGGGTATCACTTCAGTTGTCAGTACTTATCTAAACTTACTTATCCCGCCAAAACTTAAAAGTTAGATCAACGTTGAACACCTACATAATACATGTATAAGGAAGCAATCATTAGAACTTGTGAGAGTGACTGCCAGATCTATTTTTTATATTGATTCTTAAATATATAATAAGAGGAAAATTAAGTTTTGGACCAAGAGAATCTACTGTACCATATTTTGGGCTTTGGTCCATATCATTCAATCTTGTGTCATCACATTTTATCAACAGATCCCTTTGATCAAGATATATTTTGATATCCATTGATCATATGAATGTATGAGTCATATAAACATACTTTAGACACATGATTTTATCACACCACAGATTCATGGCTTACTCTAATGACTCACATAATGGAGAACTAGACTAGTATCAAGGAGCTCTTTGTGTTTGAAGATTGAAACTTTCTGTGTTTGGGTCAATCAGAAGTCTCTCAATTTTCTATTTTTTCAGCATTTTATGTTTTTGGAGACTTTATATATACACACACCAAGTATCCCATATCTTCCCATATCTATGTGACTTTAATAACTTAATGTGTTCTGAGACCAAGGAATTTCCTCATACCGTTTTGGATTTGGAAATCATGGAATTACGCTATATTATATTTGCCGAAAGATTTTTCATCTGCATAAAAAGTAATATTTCATACTTGACATTTTTTTCATTCAGTCTTGATTGATAATGTTGCAAATTGTAGTTTGGGTAATTAGAAATGTCTTTTCTTTAAAATGGCTGATTTAATACAACATGTTACACTGACATAATTCATCATAAGGGTGGTCCATTGCATTTTTGGAGAGGAGAACTAACCCAATTCAGAAAAATATCCTTGGGCTGAAGTTTTAGGTTGATAAGAGAGGAGTTATTTTGTTAATGATTTCAAAAATAAAACCTCTGTAAATGTGAATGCGTCCATACTGTTAGGCTAGTGTAGTCTTTCAGTCATAAGAAATACATTGATGGATCAAGATGGAATGCATCTATATTGGGCATATTTGTACTTATCCTATTGTCTCCTATGTTAAATCTCTCCAAGTTAAACACCCTTGAACACTTTTGGTGAATTCCTAAAGGGTTAACTAAGAGGGTTTTTACTATCCATGCATTTCTTTGGATTAGGTATAAAATGTTGAAAACTATTTTAAGAAATAATTGAGGTTTCGGATCAACTCTCAACTCATCTCTTTCACCAATACATGTACATATTGTTCCTTAATTCTAGTTTTGTAATGCTGCTATTTGTTGATAATTTTTATGTGTTGTTTAATAGATGTCTCTTCTGTATACTTTCAGGAGTTGCAGTCATTTAGAACTGAGAAGGAATCAATTGGTGAGTACAGTTTTTGCCATTCTGGTCAGGTTTTTCCTCCCATTTCTCTCCTGAAATGAACTCCTTCACTTATTACTTCCTCTAATAGTTATCCACTTGCTGACATAATGCCATGCCAAACATCTTATTTGTTATGGTGTTACATCCTCCCCTCATCTTACGAAATTGTAAATGATGATTTTCTTTCACTAAAATATTAAAAGAATCAACAATGTTCACTAACAAAATCATAATTACACCTTCCCCTAATGAAAGCAACCTAGTTATTCCACAACACCACCCTTTAATGGGTTCAAATGAGCTACAGGCATTTGGAGTCTGTGTGATTACAATGTAGCTGTGTTATTTTGGGATAGATACAATCCATTTATTCAAGGAAACAATTTAGCTGTTCATGCTTTGTATATTGGACTCATAAGTGATTATGTCCCAATGAAGGCACTCAGAACACTGTTGCATATTTTACTTTTATTCCAATATTTAGGATTATAGTGCATTCTGGTGATTATTTACCGATACTGCAATGAATATCAATTTCCATGGTAATATAAGCACAAACAATCAAATAAAACACCAAAGCTTTTAATTAATGATCAAACACAAACAGTCTAATGACACAAAAAGTGGACCTTAACTCATAAATGTAAAATGTTTTTCAGTGAATAATGTTGCTTTTAGTGGTTTCACTCCTGGGATTGTAACATGAAGCAGTCTGTCTTTGTTATGTTTTAAATGAGATTCATGTTCTGTTATGAGTCTCTCGTATTATGCAAATGAGATTGATGCGACCCTTGAGGTTGTACAGTATATACATAGGGACAAGATCACAGTGCCAAGTACAGTAATGTAGTGATCAGTCATAATTATATTGAAACATGAGCGGGGTCTTGTCTCGTATCTTCTTTTTGTTTGAAATTGCTCTATATCTCAGATACCTTTTCATGAAGATCCGTTATCTTATTGGCCAGTTTTAGTCACGTGACTGTCCAGCCAGAGGCGAGGCAATCCCATATGGGAAGCCTCAAAAAGAAATTACATGTCTTTTCAATTTGTACGTTTTACTGAGAAGAGGTTTCCATGGAGAAATGGATACATACTTTATTGTCTTCCAGATGATTTGTCCCAGATATGTTTTATTCAGATATATACACTGGCTTAATATCATTTGATCAAGACTTGTCTTTTGTCAATATATAAAACATGCTTACCTGCTACACTGAGCTTATGGCACTTTTGATGAGATTAAATAATATAAAGAGATATAAAATAGGTTCTTAAGGGAAGGTTCCATCTAGTACATGTATATATGCCCTCTGTAAAAACAAAAAACCATGTTATACTTGATGTGAAGAGTAATTTGAATCCTAATAGGTAGAGGCATTCTAATTATGTGACAATATTACCATGGTAACTACACTGTTTTACAGTTCCCAATGATTAGCTCCTCATCAGTAACTCAGATTATTTAATCTTCCTGAGATTTTATAATCCCCTAGAGTCATTGTGGTAATTGAAATCTTAATTGCTTTGTTTCAATTTGATTTTGGCCTTTGATGATTCATCTGGGGTAGTTTCCTTTCAAATGAATTCACTGTCTTTGGTAGTGTCTTTCAAAAAGGGTTTGTATTGTTTTAGTATAACGCTATGAATCCTGTTATACCTATATATTTACTACTATGTTTTTTAGTCTTGGATTATACATATGAATGTGCATGGTAATTGTTTAATACAATTTGTAATGCCAGACATGGCTGTTGATGGTCTTGGAGAAATGCCACCCACACTTTAAACAAACAATGTGGATTTAAGTGTTTCTGATATTGTTCTTTTAAACATACATCTTAAAGAAAAAAATGTGAGAAAATACAGCTATACCATGGTACATCATTTTTACATAGACTTTATATTGCAGTACAGTTTTATTATGTCACAACCCCAAGTTGTGACATATTGTTTTTTGTGGATGGTGTTTGGGGGCCAGCGTTTGGAGTTTAGCGTCTGTACTTTAACAAATGGCAGGTGGTGACATTTTGCATATTAATGCACTATCTACCTATAGTTTACAATGTTGCATGCTTTGCCAGAATTCTATTGACACCCTTATGTTTTCACTCAGCCTCCATTGATGATGCATATGTATGTTGTTATTATCAACCCTGAGGCACAGAGGCTTATAGTAATAATCTCTACCCTCTGAACAAGAAAAATAAAGGACGATTCTCGGTTTGGAGAACGAAGTTCATCAAGCTAAATGAGCATTATCCCTGCTTCGGACAAATTTGATTTTTTTACATAATATAGATTTGAATGTCTTCTTTTGAATAGTCATAATTTAATTTGGGTAATATTTCTAGATTTTTCGCAAAAAAAGTATTAGCGCAGTACACTGATGAACTTCTTTCCACAAATCAAGACTTGTATTTTATTGAATCGGTCTAATTGAGCGTTATCCCTGCTTCAGACCAATTTGTTATTTTTACATCTTGTAGATTTAAATGTCCTCTTTTGAATATTCATAGTTTAATTTGGGTAATATTTCTATATTTTTCATGAAAAAAATTATTAGCCCAGGAGACTGTTCTCCAAACCGAGAATCGTCCTTTACAGTTTAGATGCTGGTGAGATCTTAATGAGCTCAAATGACTAGCTGCCATAGCCTTTTCTGGGCATACGAATATGAAATAAATGCAAGCTACATTATATGACTTCAATTCTAATTTTTGGGCTTCGTTTTTGGTACAATCGTAACCTACAATTCTGAGAAAAACATTGTCTTCTTTTTGAAGAACAATGACTTTCCACCAAATCATAAGTTATGATAGTTCCAAAAATGGAACTTTGATTAGTTAAGGCTAGATTAAATGTTTATCTTGAATTTCAAGAGAGTAGGTATAATGATGCAAAATGAAACTAATAAAAGGGTTATCTCTATGTTATTGTCTGGTGGACATATGAGTTTGGTAATTGGCTCCAACACACATCCCCTGCTCCCTACTTACAACAGGTACTTATCTCTTAAAGGCTCTTATGTAACTTAATAAGCTTACTTAATTAACTATCTGCAAATATATATGAGGATCAGAGGCAAAATAGCCAACATAGTGAATGCTATTTTGCTCCAAGACTACAGACTGAAATTACTTTATTGAAAAAAACTGAGTACCATAGAAAAGCTCTTAGCAATTAGCTTCTAAACACCTTTTAGGCAGATTTCCTGCTTAATTTGTCTTTATTAAATGAATCATCTTATATTGTTTGAATCAACTTCTAGATTTTCATATTTTTTCAGTACATCCTATAGTATCTATGCCTTGCCTATTCTCTCCATTTTCCCTCAATAGTTCTCTTCTCTGTGCATGGTCTTCTAAATATTGGAATAATTGTTCAGCCTTGATCTTACTAATTGAGCTCAGGTATTGAATAATTCTGAAACCAACACCTAAAATAATATTCCACTCAGCACTATCATAGTTTCACCAAGAATTCATGGTGCCTTACAAATCAAGCTTGTATATTCACTCAGAATTTAGATAAAACATTAACTTTCACAACATGACCTTTTAGTTACCACAGGGGAAATTAAATGAAATTTAGAAAAATGGTGCATTGTGTTTAACAACGCTAACCTTTCATTTCAGCACTAATCCATTGTGTTTATAACATTAATCATGATTTATATCAGCTTTAGAAGATTTTTATGATTTTCATGTCTGAGATTTAGTATCTTTGTGTTTGTGTCTTTCTTTTTCTTATAATACTTATAATATATTACACATACATGGCAATGGAAGACAAATTAGGAACATTTTCGGTCAACATTGTGGATATTTTTCATGCGACAGATTTTGATATTTGCTCTACGTATGAATATCTTTTAACAGAGATGGTCTTTTTAATCCCCTGTAACCTCTTTCAATTGGGTGTTGGTAGGGCTAGAATACATGGAAATGTATTGGGAAGAGTCACTTAATTTCATAAAGGACGATTCTCGGTTTGGAGAACAGTCTCCTGGGCTAATAATTTTTTTCATGAAAAATATAGAAATATTACCCAAATTAAACTATGAATATTCAAAAGAGGACATTTAAATCTACAAGATGTAAAAATAACAAATTGGTCTGAAGCAGGGATAACGATCAATTAGACCGATTCAATAAAATACAAGTCTCGATTTGGGGAAAAAAGTTCATAAGTGTACTGCGCTAATATTTTTTTGCGAAAAATCTAGAAATATTACCCAAATTAAATTATGAGCATTCAAAAGAAGACCTTCAACTCTATATTATGTAAAAAAAATCAAATTTGTCCGAAGCAGGGATAATGCTCATTTATATTGATGAACTTCGTTCTCCAAACCGAGAATCGTCCTTTAACAAGTAATTCCATGTGAATCAACTTAAAACACCATTGGAATATAACTATATGATCTTATTGACATGTGGATTGTGATTTCACATTACAATTGTGATCCTTGTAAGGGGCGGGGTCAAAATATCAATGTTCATATGGAGACGAAAGTAATTTCGTTTGGACAACAACCCCCCCCCCCACCCCCCCTCTAGACGAAAGCTTAGGTCACTTCAAAAAAACATTGATTTATGAGAGGCATAATCGAATCCTATTTGCCGGGTTATTATTACGGTGAATTAACACACGTTCGCAATTTAACTGCATTGAACTCTTCAAAAGGAGGAGGGAAAAGTACGGAATTTATTTGAAAAATGATCGAATTATCATCTTTATCTACCGATATTTTGGACCTATCACACAAAAAAGCTCACGAACTATTGAAAACAAGCCTTTTTATCAGAACATAGCGCCAGAAAAAGTGGGTAAGTCCAATTATTTTTTGTATATCAGATCCGAATTATCAATGTTTTTTTGGTCAACGAAAGTGCCCAAAAACCCCCTCCCCCCCTCGCGAAAGTACTTTCGTCTCCATATGAACATCGATATTTTGACCCCGCCCCTAAGATTAAATGAACTTTTAATTCAATATC